TTATAATTGTTGTTTATAATTTATACAATTAACCTCCCTGTGGTTCGACCCCGGTCTTGCCGGGTTATTTATTACTTCAACACTCTTGCACTTGAGAGAAAACATCAATCTTTTAGTCGTGTCAATGGGGCTCTAGTTTCTTAAAGGGAGGGGCGGCCGAGAAAGAAAAGGTCAGATGGCCAGAGAGGGGGCCCTAGCTTCTGTGTATTTGTGCGGGGTTTTCTCTAGTTCTTTTTTTTTTTTACCAAAAGAGAGGGGCGGCGGCCGTCTGTGAGAAGGTTTAGGTTAGGGTTTTTTCTTTTGTTTTCCCTAAAATTTTCTTCGCCCCCCAAAATGTTCTCTCTACTCCCTCTATTTCAATGTAGCATGGTGTTAATCGAAGAAATATTGCTAGGATTCAAAACTGGTCCCTAAACTTTTCTTTTTTCTTTTATTTTACTTTGTAATTTTTTTCCCATTATTTGCATTTTTTAAAGCAAGCAATATCAACGTCGACTTAAAAAATCAGTGATTGTAAAATTAACGAGTTAAAAGTTGAACGCGTTCAAAATACCTTTGAACATTTAAATTCTTCTAAGATGACGTTGAAAATGCTAAAAATGATTCAAATATATCAAAATACATTTTTTTAGGGGGTTTTGTTTTTTTTACTATTTTTGATTTTTTCTGAAAATTTATCAAAAACATGGATAAAAAATTAGTAGCAACAACATGTTTTGATTTTAAATATCTTTTTGTCGATCTCATCTTTCAAAATTAAATTGGTTGAGAATTAAGTTTCTTAATTCATTATAGATCAAAGATTTCACGAGTTATGAATTTTAGAGATTAGACAATAGGTTTAAGAGATTCATTGAGATTGCTTGATTTTTTTTTCTTTTCCTAAACTAATGTTTTCTTATTTTTTATACTTTTTTTTTAGTTTTTTTTTGTTATATTTTTTGTTTTGATTTATTGGGTTAGTCCTCAACAATTTTTTAATAATCTTTCAAGTTACAAATATTTTTTAATTTCATCCCCTATGATTTTTTAATATTTGAAATTTGATCATCGTTTTTTTAATTGCAATATATTTAATGTTGGATCATTTTTAATATTTTTACAAATTTCATCATTCTTAGATTTTTTTTCTGTCAAATTATATCCCTATTCCTTTTTGTTGCTTTTTTTCCTTCTTTTGCAAGTTTTTTATTAACATTTTTTTAGCGATTTTATTTTTTAAAATTAAATTTGTTAAGAGTTAAGTTTATTAATTAAACTCAAGTCAATAATTTCACAAGTTATAGGTTTTAGAGATTAAAATAGGTATTGGTAGTTTGCCCGAGGTTTCTTGGTTTTTTTCCTCTTTTTTTTATTTTTTTCTTTTTCTTTCTTATCTTTTGGGTTTGATTCTATTGGGTTATCCCTTTATAATTTTGTTTTTTTAACTTCACCTCCTATCTTTTTTTCATCTATAAATAATATATCAAATTACAAATATTTTTTAATTTATCCCCTATGATTTCTTAATATTTGAAATTTGATCATTATTTTTTTAATTGTAATTTATTTTATTTTGGATTATTTTTTTAATAGCTATTTATTCTATTTAGGATTATATTTACTTTTTATAGTTTTTTTCTATTCATATATTTAATAGCTTAAGTTGTTAAATAAGGTCTCATGATATAATTTATATTATTCTATAACCTACCCCTTTAGATGAAAGTCCTTTGGGCTAAAAATTTGTATAGATTCATATTATATTGTACTTAATTTTTATCAAATAAATAAGAAAGGTGAAATTCGAACTTATAACCACTTGGTTATTAAGATTCTAATACCATGTTAAAAAACGAATTCAACTCAAAAGCTTAAGATGTTAGATGAAGTTTATTTATATTATTCTTTAACATTCTCCATTAAGTGAAAGCTCTTTAAACTTGAAACTTGCACAAACTCACATTACCTTGTGTTTAATTTTTATCAAATAATAAAAAAAGTAAAATTTAATATTATAACTGCTTGGTTATCAAGACTCTAATATCATATTAAACATCATTTCTACTTAATAGTTTAAACTGTTAGATGAGTTTACATGATATATTTTATATTATTTTTTGACAATTAATATAGATAGGCTCAAATATAACTTTTTTTGTTTTTTTGTTGTCAAGTTTATTTATTATTATTTTTTTCATATTATATAAATTACCCTAGAACACTTCGATTTTTTCTTGCTTGACTCTTTTTTTATGTCTTTTTTTTTTTTTTTTTGCTTGGCCACAATGAAGCGCTTGCAACATATCTAATGTCATCTATAGCTACTTCACCTCGCGTCGCATTTGTATTTTTTAATTTAAATACATGGACGCCCATATATCTTTTTTTTTTCTGGTTCATTTTTTGGTCCACGGGGGATCTTAATTTGTAGTTTTAAACTGTCAAATCGTGTTAATTGAGTCATCTACATCATTAATTTGCTTAATGTCCTCCCTCCATAAATAATAGCGTCCAAGACAACAATAATCCTATATAACTAAGCTTAACATGTTCTTTCATTTCATTCTGAGTTTTTTATTTTATTTTTCTCATTGGTAGATAATCTTAAATTGCATACATTTACACAAAGCCCAAAAAGAAAAATACAAAAGCATACCAACCGGAAGAAACACATACACAGGGCAAACTCAACTACAAACGATTGAAGCTGCTTGCCATGGAACAAATCCATAAAACAGTCCTTGTGCATCCCTCATGTCTTTAAGCGTTCATCGAACATAACGCCCACCATCTACACCAAAGATGTTCGAATCACCACGTACACATGAAGAAAATGTATGTGTAAGCAAGAAAGAGCATTTGCAGACATGCGAATCGAAAGGACAAATTCACATGCAGAAAGCATCAATAGAAACTCTAGTCGCTATTTTCGCCACGTCCCAAATCCTCAGCCCACACTATTTGCCTATAAATACTAGGGCCCTTGATCTTGCCATAACCCACCATAAAAAAGAGTTTCAACAAGCATGTCTTCCTCTACTTTGTTTTCTCTTACACTTTGCTTTCTTGTTCTCTTCAATTGTTGCTTTGCTCAGATAGAGCAAGTGACCTCGCGACATGGCCAGCAACAAGCTCGACGACGCAACTTTCAATGCCAACTTCAGAAGATCAATGCCCTCGAGCCTGCTCGGAGGATTAAATCAGAGGCTGGTGTCACTGACATTTGGGACGAAAATGATAAGCAGTTTCAATGTGCTGGTGTTGCAGTTATCCGCCATAGAATTCAGCAGCGAGGCCTCTTGTTGCCTGCATACTCTAATACCCCTAAGCTTGTCTATGTAGAGCAAGGTATGCGCTTAAATATTCTTTACCACTTCACATTTACAATTAATTAATATACTTCTGTTAGTGTCAATGTAGGAAGGGGCATTCAGGGAGCTGTATTCGCTGGCTGTCCAGAGACATTCCAATCATCAGGGAAGTTTTCTCGAGATCGTAGTCAAAGCTCCGAAGACCAGCACCAGAAGGTTCGACAAGTAAGAGAGGGTGATGTAGTTGCCTTGCCTTCGGGAGTTGCTGATTGGTTTTATAACAATGGTGATTCACCTCTCGTTCTTGTTCAACTTCTTGACACAAGCAATCCTGCCAATCAGCTTGATCAGGATTTCAGGGTAAGAATCACAAAAATTCAAGCATGCGATATCATGTAATAAGCAAGCAAGGATTACTTTATAAGCAAACATTAATGTGCCATTTCAGAATTTTTTCCTTGCTGGAAACCCACAACGAGAATTGCAAAGCCAAAGAAGCTCATACCAGAGAGACCAGGATGAAGGTCAACGTGGACGCCAAGACGAAGGTGAAGGTCAGAGACACCAGCAAGACAGACACCGCAATGTCTTCGGCGGCTTCGATGAGAAAATCCTGGCAGAAGCTTTCAACATTGACACCAGACTAGCAAGAAGCATAAGGAACGAAAAAGATAACAGAGGCATCATTGTCCGAGCTGAGCATGAGCTTCAGGTGGTAAGTCCACATCAGAGCCGAGAGGAAGAAGAACGTGAAATTGGATACCGAGGGGGACGAGGTGGTGGATTCAATGGCATAGAGGAAACTTTCTGTACTGCTAGGTTGAAGCACAACATCAATGACCCAGAACGTGCTGATTTCTTTAATCCACGTGCTGGACGCCTCACCATTGTCAACAGCCTCAATCTCCCTATCCTTCGATCTGTCCAGCTTAGTGTTGAGAGAGGTGTACTCTACCCGGTAAGAAAGTCTATGCACTCTTCATTGAATTTTTTTTCTTGACATTACAACAATTTCTCTTTTTACAAAAACAACTCACAAACTGGGTTCATGTGGATCAGAATTGTTTCATTGGCGATATATATAGCAATCCCTTGTAGAATACATGGTTGTGCTATGAGTCCTGGTTTTGGTCAAATATCACATGCTGTGCTTAATTTATTGTGAACTTCTTACTAATGTACATCGAATGTGATCGTGCACTGTAGAACGCTTTGATGTCACCGCATTGGAATATGAATGCCCACAGCATAATCTACATCACTAGGGGAAATGGAAGGATTCAGATTGTTGGAGACAATGGACAAACGATATTTGATGGAGAACTCCGCGAGGGTCAAGTAGTTACAGCACCACAAAGCTTTGCAGTAGTGAAGAAGGCAGGAAGCCAAGGGTTCGAGTGGGTATCATTTAAAACCAACGACAACGCACAAGTTAGTCAATTGGCTGGACGTGTCTCTACCATCCGCGGTTTGCCAGTGGAAGTGGTAGCAAATTCATTCCAGATCTCAAGGGAAGATGCTAGGAGGCTTAAGAACAACAGGGAGGAAGTTAGAGTTTTTAGTCCTTCACAATCTGGAAGGAGTCATGAGATTGCATGAATGCAATTGTAAGCTGAACAAGTAAGAGGCTGTATGTCTAAATCAGTAGAGAATGAAATAAGCCTAAGAGGGCATGTAATGTGGTCTTGTATGGAACCTTGTGCTATGCATGTTTTATGCGGGAAATGAAATGTTCGCTTTCTTTTCTTCGATATTTCCTTTCAATGTGAGAGAAGAGGAAGTTCTTCTAGCTACGACGACTACTTCAAGTTTGTATAATAACAGTGCCATCATCACTACCTAACGATGCACTCACTCACGCACAGATGCCTTGAGTCAAACATGCTAATATTTGCGGCAACAATGATTGATTTAATAACTAAAGTTCCTTATAATTTCTCCATTTTAACATCTTCTTCTTCCCAGTTCCAAGTCCTTTAGTCTTTTACACTTGGGTTTATTTTTTTATTTTCAAATCCATGATACGTAGAACTAAATAAATTAAATTAAAATCTCCACATCTCCTTTTTCTACATGGTATACTAAATCATTTTATCTATATACATTATTTAACGTTACAAATCAATTTAATTTAATATTTTAAATTGTTGGATAAATTTTTACAATATAATTTATATTATTTGCTAGCATATTCTTTCAATTAAAAACTCTTTAGGTTTAAAATTTATATAAATTTACATTATTTTATAACTAATTTTTTTTAAATAAATAAAAATAATAAAATTTAAATTCATAATTATTTAGTTATTAATTAATTCAATTTAATAATTTAAATTATTAAAAAAATATTAAAATATCAAAAAAGAGAGAGAGAGAGAAATTAATGACGACGTAGAAAAACTGACATTGACCACTGATCGCCAGCCCTATAGCCCCACCATTGTCAGCCTTCATAGTGGAAGCACCACACACAGAATTTCGCTGCAGGCCACCTATCAACTGTAAAATGTATGCTATTGAATATCTTGAGATAAGCTTGTTCAGAAAATGAATATTTGAGGTAAGCTCGTGATGTACGTGGCAGAGAAAGGGATTATCAAGTACTGAGATCGACGTGGTAAAGCAAGTGGTTATCATAACATAATAATCTCATCCGCAAGGGCAATAATTTTCCGTAACGTGTAAGCCTATAATAATTATAACAATTGTAAGTTTTTTTAAAAATGTTTTTTATTAGATGATATGTTAAAATAATATTTTAAAAAAAAATTAAACATTATCATGTTATGTTATTTTCTTTTTTAAAAAAATTTAAACATTATCATGTTATGTTATTTTCTTAGATAGATGGACGAGTTTATGTGAGAGGTTTTTTTTTTAATTTATTTAATGCATGCCATTGCAGTAAACTTCCATAATCATGATAAATAGCAAGACTAATAATACATAATTCAACTACCAAAAAGATGTCCCTATCCATTAAATAATAAATAATTTAACCATAAAAATTTTTTATATTAAAAATTAAATTTACTTTAATTTGATATTTTTAATTTGACATGGCTTGATAACGGTAAACTTAAGATCAGTAAATTTAATTTAATTTAATTATATAATTATAAGTATAATTTTTTAAAAAAAAATTATTATTTTTTAATTTTTAAATCATAACTAATTTAAATTAAAAAAAAACATTTGATCTATTCAATTAAATCAATGATGCATTACTAAATTTACTAGTTTATACTAACTCCTATTTGATTTAGAGTGTGCCTGAAAATATAATAATAATATAATAATTGTTATTTAAAAAAATTATTTAAAAATATATTAAAATAATAATTTTTTATTTTTAAAGAATTATTTTTTATATTAACATATAAAAATATAAAAAATAATTTTAAATAAGAAATCTAAATTTTCATGAGACACTGTTTTAATTTAATTTTAAACTATAATTTAAAGCCTGTTTATTTTTTAGTTTTAAAATTATTTTAAAATAAAATTAAAATTAAAATTTAGATTTTTTTAAATAAAAATTAAAAAATAGCTGGGAAGCTTTAATTTCAAAACTAGAGCAAACGCCAAGGTAAGCTAGCTGCCATGTTGACTCTCAGAGTCAAGATTAGTCTAATGACAATGACCAAAAGCTCCGCCCAGGGCGTCACTAACTAGTTATTACTCAAGTCATTTCCATTTTCTGAGTATGCTAAATGTCCTCTTTGGACAGTCTATGAAAGTTAAAGGTCATCAAGGAGAGAGTTCAAAGTTCATCACTTATAGAGAAAGAACATTGTTACTTATAGAGAAAGAACATTGATGCTACAGTTTCTGATATTTTGAGGATGACATTTATCTTACATATGCTGATGATACTTGTTGTAATCCAATTTTGAATTTACTAAATTTTTTTAAATATTATTTTATTTTATTATTGATGACAAAAAAATAAAAAAATAAAAAGAGAAAAAGAAAAGAAAAAAAAGAGTTTAAAATATATTTTCTCGAGTCAACCGTCATTTTCTGTCAAAA